GCCGATGCAGGGGACACGGGTTCGTGCCCCGGCCCGGGAAGATCCCACATGCCGCAGAGCGGCTGGGCCCGTGAGCCATGGCCACTGAGCCTGCACGTCCGGAGCCTGTGCTCCGCAACGGGAGAGGCCACAACAGTGAGAGACAAACCCACCGAAAAAAAAAAAAAAAAAAAAAAAAAAGAACAAATGAGATAATTTGTAAAAAGCGTTCTATAAACTGAAAGGTGATACACACATAAGATATAGGCCTCTCTGGAACTTTGCACTCAACTATGCACTAAAAATGCAGCTTTAAAAAAAAATCCAGCTCCAGCTCTAAGGCTTTGCTTCTTTCTTAAGTGGATTTAACTACCTAAAATGAGCTGCACACCAGTGACCAACATGCACCAAATTATTAATTGGACACCAACCGTATCTTTGTCAGGCTACATCTGCCCACCCACCCGCCCCCACGTCACCTCCACTCCTGGTGAGAAGGCAAACAGAAGGAGGCTCTGGAGAGCTGGGAGCTTGCAAAGAAGTGGGAATACCAGTGTCCTGTCCAACACCCCATTAATTAGGGATATATCATCCTATTCTTATTTGTCCTTTGCCATTTGTAGCTTAAAAGAGTGCTGGAATTTCCATCATGCTCGAAGCCTTAGAGATCCTCTCTGATCCATCCTACATATATTCAGCAAAAGGTTATTGAGCATCCACTACGTGCCAGGCACTTGCCAGGGCCTGGGATTAAGACAGTGAACGGGACAGGGAACATTCTTGCTTGTTGGACTCATGCGCTAGCAAGTGAGGCTGGCATCAAAGGTGACACATGAGCAAGTAAGATGGTTTCAGATCATGACAAGTACCAGGAAGACAACTGAACAGGAGACGTAAGAGAAAGCGATAGGGCTGGGGAACGAGAGGCGAGGCCTTCAGATGGGACAGGGAAGCCCTTGCTAACAAGGTGATATTTGAACTGAGATTTAAAGGATGGAAAAGAGCCAGCCACGCTAACATACATTTATAAGCAATGGAAAGTGCAAGTGCAAAGGCCCTGAGACAGGAACACGTCTGATCCATCTGAGGAACAAAAGGAAGCCAAATGGTCCAGAGGTCAGCTCAAGGGGGATGTTGAAGAGATAGGATCAAAGAGGCCATGTCAATGGCCTCCTTGCACATGGGAGGAAGGTTAAGCCCAGAGAGGCTAAGTGAGCAGCCCAAAGTCACACAGCTAATTATTGCTACAGCTTGTTTTAGACACTAATTCTTTTGCCCCCAAATTGAGTTTTTTACACTATAATGATCTGCTTGCCTCAGGCTGTACGGATATTGTTTGCTGATCTTACTGGTTTTTAAAAGCTTTTAACATACATCAAAGCAGATAGCCAATCCCAATTTTCAGCAGAAGATCATCAACAAGTGATCCCAGTGATTTAAAACGCATATAAATTCTGCTATGAAAGCCAATACTTAGTGCCAACCTACTTTTGTGTAGGTCCTCCACAAACAGTCACTGTGTGTTAAAGGCTTAGCTTTACAAATATGGAGGAAGGCCATAGCTCACCAGAGAATAATCATTTTACACTTAGGTCTTATTTTTGCACCTAAACCTCTTAACAGTGCTTTGCTTAATTCACCCAAGTGCAATCAAAACCACTCTGTTCTCAAATCACCTTCAATTTGTGCTATTAAATTGTCGGGTAATAGGGCTATAAGCAAAACATCATAATTACAACTTCCTTCCAAAATCGGTGAGCACAGCCACCTGAAGGTGCAAGTCTGTCTGTTCATTCCAGAATTCTAAGGAACTGTCCCTCCTCTTTTCTATTGTAATGCTAGGGTCTCCTTCATCTTTCCCTTGCTAAACACATTTGGTCTATGTAAACCCAAACTTCCAAAGAACAGACCCAATGTCTGTCCAGTAGCCAGTGACTACCCGCCCCCCAGAGGTAGATGCAGAGATAATATTTGGTTAGACAGGTTAATGGAGAAAGGAATGAGTGAGAAAGACTGATTCACTGCCTCACCCTTCTCTTCCTCTTCCCCCACCTCCTCCTCCTACTCTCTCTTATGCTCTCCCTCCTTGAAAGAAGCTTCTCCAGTCCCTGAGCTCTGGGAACCTCACCAGGCAGGAGCCAGAGGTGCAATAACATAAGGAACAGATGGGAAGAGTGTTTAAGGGCCCATATTTTAGTCTGACCCCACCACCCACTAGCTGTGTGGCCTCGGATAAGTTACTCAACCTCTCTGTTCCTCGATTCCCTCACCTCTAAAATTAGGATCATCTCTTCTGTCTATGATTAAATAAAGAACATTAAATTAATCTTCTGGTTAAAGAATAATTAATAATACATAAGTTAATAAATAATTTAATTAATTCATTAATATATGTGCACCTAGTTCTATGCTGGTGTGAGATATGGTACCCTCACTTCCCACTCTCTTCCTGCCTCCACCTCCTGGCTAGGAAAGACTACTGTCACCCACACCTCCAGGAACAATTGGGCCTCAAGTCAGAGCACACTACTAAAAGGCAGCTCAGTGGTGTCCTGATGGCAATCAAGGGTCAAACGGGGACAATAACACTGTGCCATCAGATAAGTATTGTGACAATAACTGTATGAAATTACGTACATCAAACACCTGGCATGCAATGATTGCTCACTGAATGCTGTGACTTTTATTGGGGTCTTTCCATTCTTAGCATCGTCGGTTGTGACTATAGACACTACTTGCATGCTTCTTCACTGTTTTAGGCTGTAAAATGTGGGATTCATCTGTGTTTGTCACTGTGACATAAATAGATAGAATGATGATTATATAGAAATGTATTTTAAAAGCCAAGGCAAGCTTCACAAAATCGGCCCCACAGCCCTCCCTATCAGAGCTCCTTGAAAATAACTGATCTGATATTTTAGACAGCAGCCCACTTGACCCATCTCTTGGATGACTCAGAGACGTCTCCCACTCAACAAGTCCTGGGCTGAACTCCTGAGTTTTCCCTCAAGACTAGTCCTGCCCTGGCTGCCTTCCCAATCATTCCAACTACTCCACATCCACACTTGATTCACACAAAGCCTGTAGATTTTTGTACCCTCCCTCGCTCCCTACTCCATCCATTTTTTCCACCTCCACAGCCACCACCATGGTCCACACTACTATTGTATCTGGTCCCTCACATCCACAAGAGCCACATGGCACTTGTTTTGAAACTCAGTTGAGATCATGTCGCTCCTCAGCTTGAAACACTCCAACCTCCCAATCCACAATTCCCCCCCCTACCTGCAACAACACGAGGCTTTGGGATCAGACCCTATGGATTCACCAGCCCCACCTCAAAACACATGCTCTCTTGCTCTCTGCTCCAGCCATGGAAGCTTCCTTTCAGGTCCTCAAATATACATGCTCCCTCTGCCTCAGGGCCTTTGCACTTGCTGTTCCTTCTTCTGCAAGTTCCCATCTTCATTAGCCAATTAATCCCTACATATCCTCCAGGTCTCAGTACAAATATTTGACTATCTTCCCTGGCTATCCGCCTCCCCTGGTTCTTGTCAGTCTCTTCCATCAGACACTTTCTTAAAGCCTTGATGCTCTTCTTCATGGAACATGTATAAACTTGTAATTATGTACTTCTGTGCAATGATTGATTTAGGTCTGTATCCCTCACTATAAACTCCAAGAAGGCAGAGCTTTTGTCTGTAGTATTCTGACTGTATTTCCTGTGCCTGGGACAGCATTTGGTTTGTAGTAGATACTCAATAAATATGTTTTGCAAGGATTCCTCCCCCCCCAAAAAAAGAAAACAAACAGACAAAAAACAGGCACACTTCCATATTTCCAGAGATCTAGAGACAAAATAGAAGGTCTGGGTTGCACTTAACAGCCCTGGTTGTATTAACAGCACTGGTGTTAGAATAGGAAATGTCTCTTCACTCTGTCTTCAGTACCCAGTCAATTCCTAAGACATTTATTCAACAATGACTGGGTTTCCTCTTTTCCAGTCTGGAGAAAAGAAGAAATGCACTCATAAAAAAAAAACACTAAACACACACACACACACACACATACACATCAAATAAACAAATTTCAACCCCAATTCACACAGAGGCGTTGCCTCGCCCAACTCAGCCTTCAGATGAGCTAAGAGAAATGCTTGTCAAAGCATGACAAAAGCAAGAGCATTCTTGTCAAAACTGGACATGAGGTTTCAACTTGTTCTGTTCCCATAGTGATCACTCACAAGAAGCCTTAACATGTATATGCTAATTACAGACACCCTGGACAACCCTAGGCACACACAAATCTGTCTAAATCACTCCCTTTTGTGCCCAGGGACCACTGTGCAACATTCGTAAAAGCTTGTAAATGACACTACTACTCGGGCGTGCTCCCCTCCCCGAGCCCTTACCTGCCCCACCCTTTTTGAAAACCACTCCCTCCTCCCCCTTCTACTCCCATCTGAGCCAACCTAGCTGCGTTGTTTGGTAATAAGATTGAGCGAAGATTTGGAAGGCCCCATGGGCTTCATTATTCCGCATGCCCTAGAGAAGGGCCACCTCCAGGGGCTGTTGCTGTGGCTCCAAGCCCCACTTGCTGCCAGGAAACCTTTCCCACTGAGGACACCCTGCCAGGCGGTGCAGCTCCAGGTCCAGGGGGAGGCACCCCACCCATCTGCCAGAGACAAAGATCACCAGAAACAAAGGACACACACACACACAAAGTCAGAAGGAAATATCGACACTTGGTGCGATTTCAAGCCAAACACCCAGCTTGGTGTATCTTTAAACAGATTTTAAAACAATCCAGGAGGGACACTGATTATGTGATAATGACAGGCGCTATCTGGGCTTGGCACCCACGCTGCCTCCGCCCTCCTCCCACCCGCGCCGCAGTTCCCAGGCGAATTTTCCAGCCTCAGGACACAGGCCGCCAGGAGCAAGTGTGCTTCCAGTCAAGGAAGCGCGCACACGCCGGAGACAGAGGCAGGGCCCGGGCGGTCAAAAGTAAGAAATACCAACCTTTAGGATCCCAGTTCACCTGTTTTCTTGGAGTCTCGATTGGAAATTTCATTGCTCCGTTGCCCAGAAGGGGAGGAAATGAAAAGGATCGAAATAATAATAAAGTCCTCAAGCTTTATACGCCTCGGTACAGCAGTCCAACAAAACAATTTCCAAGGATGGGGGAGCCTTGGACTGGGTCGTGGTGGAACCCCAGAGAAAGACAAGTGGAAAAGATTTGGCTTAGGAGAGAACTGGAGACTGCTTGGGTGTTTGCACCGGTTGAGGGGTGGCCGGCAGCAGCCCCTCGGGTAAAAGGAAAAGTAAGGCCAGCGAGGGGTGGATGGAGAGGGAGGCTCGGGAAGATGAAAGAGCCAAGCTGCTTCCCAAACGCGGCGCCGGCAGGTTGGGGGCCGAGCAGCCGGAGGGCCGGCGCGAGGGAGAAGCCCACCGCAGTGTCACTCCAGCCCCTGAAGGCGTGTGCTCACACACTCCCGCACACACACACACACACACACACACTCTCACACACTCGCCAGGGCGCGCGCTCGGGCGGGCACGTCAGCCTCGCTCGGCCGCGCAGAGCGCACAAGCCCCTCCCCGGCCGCGGCTCCTCGCCCCCGAGCGACGCCCCCAACTCCCCACCCAGCGAAAGCCATTGGACGTAGGGGTGGCGCGGCACCCGGGGAGCTCGCGGCGAAGACTACCCTCCCCGCGGCGAGCCTCAAAAGCCGCGCCACGCGGAAGGGCGCGGAGCGGGTAGAGGGGCCACGCCAAGGAGGCGCACTCGGCCACCAGCGCCCGGCTGTGGACTTGCCGGCGCGTCTGCTGGAGGTGGCGGGAGGCGGCGGGCGCGGCGGCCCGGAAGCCGCGGTGGGGCGGGGAGCCGGCGGCAAGCGCGCCGCTATTTACTGGCTAGAACAGCCGGCGGACGGGCGGGCTTGGAGGCGGCCGCGGCGCGCTCCGCGGAGTTGCAGCCGGAGACACGCTTGGCTGCTTAGAAGGCGCTGCAGGAGGCGGAGGAAGGGCCGCGGCGGCCCCTCCGCATACCTCTGCCTCGAGGGAGACCTCCTGTCACCGCTTCCACCCTGGGCGCACCCCCACCTGCTTTTCTCACCTCATGTTTTCACTCCAGTCCCCTCCCGCGCCTGGTCCTCCCGCCAGCACCCGAACCCACGTCCCCAGCGCGCTCCGAGGAGGCCGGTGCCAGCCATGAGCCTTTTGTTCTGGGACCGCTCCGCGTCGGCCGCGCTCTCCCCGCCCCGGGAAGCTCGCTCCCCAGGCGCAGCCCGGTCCCTTCCCCAACCACCTGCCGACCGGCCGGGGCCTCTGCTCGGAGGCCGGGGTGGAGGCTGGAGAGAGGCGCCGCCACCACTGAGGACAGCGGAGTTGCCAAGACTTGGCGGCCCCGGGAGCCCGAGGGCCCGGCAGGGGCAGGTGCAAAGGAACCCCAGACATGTTCCCGGAAAGAAGCTAAACCTGGCGCATTCCCCCTTCCCCCACTCACACTGCCCGCTCCTGAAGCCGCACAGGGGCTTGCGGTGGAACCTCAGTGTCCAGAAGAACCTGGTTGTGGTGAGATGCTCTTGAATGGGCTACTCGAAGTACCAATAAAAATAATGTTTACAAATTACTTCGGATACCTAACGACAGAGACCTGCACAGAGTAGATGCTCAAGAAATGCTTGCTAAATGAACGCATGAACTGCATGAAGCAGTGCTGGACAGGAAGTAGTTTAAGTTACTGTCCAGTCACTGTCCATTTTACATATATCTTGAACCCCTTCTATGTGCCATCACTGTGCTAGGTGCTGGCGATATGGCAAAGAGCCAGACTGATATGGACCTTGCCTCCATAGGGCTTACTGTCTAGTGCCATGAGGTCGGGTTAGATCATCGTTGCCTTTACTTAAGAAAGGGAAAGTGACTGTTCAGCCTATTCCCAAGCCTGCCTTCTATGGCCCTAACTGCCTACACGAGCATTTGCTCTCAGAATGCATGCCACTCTATGGCACCTTGGGGCTTCGGGGGAGCCCTGTGTCAGCAGCATCTTTCTCATCATCCATCTCCCACTGTCACATCCAGGCTTCAGAGTTACACAGCAAGATCCACTGAGGTCCACTGTCATCTGTGAGAAGGGTTGGTAAGTGCTTTGTAACTGACCCTACAGGCTGCTGGGGAGTTCTCTGCAAATCCTGTCAGGCAAAACTGGTACTAATCTGATGGCACTATTCTGACTCAGACCTTTAGGCAGGTGTGGGTTTCCTAGGTGCTTCAAAGCTACCTTCTCTGGAACTCTGTTTCCACACTTTGCTTCTCTCTACTAGAAGGCTGAGAGGATGGATGAGACCTGGAAATAAAACAAAGAATGACCGCTTCTCCAGCCATGCCCCCAGAGACACCAGTATATATGTAAATTCTGCTCCAAAACCCAAAGGAAGCTGCTTCCAAGCTCCTACGAAAGCCTTCGGAGCCTCACTCCTCCTCCACTGCTCACAGGCAGAAAGGTGCCAGCCCAGTCACTGCAACGCAACGTTATTACCTGCATCAGAGTCAGAGAGAGGTCTCCACAGAGAAAGGTACCCTCTCTCCTGAATCCTCTGAGGATGCGGAGGCAAGACTGACATCTATCAACTGCCCTTTCACCTTCTCATACTTCTCTCCATTCATCTTCCCTATATGACATAGAGGAAGCTCCAACTGGCCTCATCTTGCAGATGAGAAGAGCGGGGCTCAGAGAGGTAAAGGAACACGCCCAGGGTCACAACACAGAGATTCAAACCCAAGTGAGCTCATCTGGTCCCTGGACCCATGAATCTGACCTTGAAGCAGTCACAGGGGTACTTTTGGGTAATGAAGATCTGAGTACAATATTTTCTAATGCTTCAGATCCTCCTCCTTTGCAAAATGAATTGGACTAACTTAGTGCCCTGGGGTCTACATCGGGGAATTAGTTCACTGTCCAAGGCAAATTCCCATGGCATGAAATGCAGCTCAGGGTACATCATTCAGCCAATCAAGAAACATTTATTGAGCATCCCTTGTGTGCAAGACAGTTTGCACGTTTTTGTCAGAAGTTATTTGGCCCCTGGAGAACCTTGCCCAGAAATGCATCAGCAGGATGATTATTGGGGGGCCAGGCGATTTGGAGCAGAATCAGGGGTCTGGAGTTCCTGATGACTTGCACTAGTCATCAGCTCTTAGGATCATCTGTCTGCTAAATCACTCCCCCCTTTCCCATCCCCAACCTCTGGGGCTTCCCTCACCTCCACTTTTTCTCCCTTCTCAGAATGTGAACAAAAACGAGTTTGTGGGGGGAAAAAATCTACCAAAATTAATTAATTACTTAATCCCAGCACCCCCTCCCCTAACGTGCCTGAAATCAAGCCCAACTCCTAAATTGCGTATTTGGAATGGACTTCGGGCCGGAGGATGGGTGAAAGGGAGGGTGGCTCAGGGGAGGATGTTCGGAAAGGGAGGGGGCAGGGAGGGGAGCCCCCTCCCAAGACAAACATCTTAGCACATTAACCCTTTGTGCTCCGCAATTCCCTTCCATCGCCTTCAGTTCTACCTCTTGGTTCTTACAGACTTGATTACACTTACCCCAAGAAGGAGGAAAGAAGTGGTCTGTGTAGAGAAAAAACATCCAAAACAGACGCCGCGCGGAGCGGTTCCCTCTCCTTCTGTGCCTCCGCAACTTTCATGGCTGTTGCTGCGGGAGGGTTAAGTCTGGTGGAAAGAGACCGCCTCGGGCTCCTGCGGCAGGAAAACAAAGCATCCTGGCGCTAAGTCTCCCTGCACCCGCCGAGCCCCGCCAGTGACCCCGGGCTGTCGGCCACCGCGTCCTGGGCGCATTCGGTGGTAAAGGGCGCCGCGTTCCTTGCCGGGGATGCGTTTCTGCGGGCCGCCCGGGTCTCTGCAGCTCAGAACCTGCAATAGTTGTGGCACCACTTTATTGAGTGCCGTCGAGCGCGGCGTGGAAGGGCTGAGGAAACCGGAAACTCCCAGTCATTTCCCGCGAGAGAAAGTTTCCCGCGAGTTGGTGGCTCCTTTACCCCCTCCCCACGCCGCAGCCCGGGATGGGTGTGAGGGCGGACGGATGCTGCCTGGCACGTGGGGAGTCAGCATCTCCGAATGACTGGCAAAGAACAGCTCTGCCAGAGGAGAGGTGAACACGGGATCGGGGTGAGGCAGGAGAAAGTCCGGGACAGCGAATCGCAGGGAGCAATGGAGCAGCTTGGGAAATCCTGCTTAGTGTTGGTTCGGCAAACAGAAGCGGGAGGAGGACAGATCTGATTAGAATCTACTTCGAATTCGTTAATCTGCCTTGGATTGTTTCCCTTTGGTTTCACCATTCCACCTTGAGGTCCGGAAGAAAACCCAATCTTGTATGGTCTTTCTCATTCCCAAGACACCTGCGAGTCCTCTTCTCAAAAGAACTGCAGAGAAATGTCCAGGTCATTTTTGTGAAGATATTCCCGCACACACACACACACACACCCTGTGTAGACGCACTCAGTGGTAAAACTGATAGGATTATGCATTAAAGTTAAACTTTTCCTACCAGAAATGTTGTCTTTCCTCAGCGAAGTTTCCACTTTGTTCTCAGCATTTAATCATTCCTACATTTGTCTTCACGTCCCAACCAACATCTGCAAAAACACACCCTTAAGTATATGTTGCTCTAATCTTAGGCTCTGCTTTTGCCTTGGAAAAGCTGGGGACACATCAGCAACTAAAGGGCAAGGAATGGGGTGTCATGTATCATATCGCTCAATAATAAACTCTGTATGGGTAAACCCTGCGGATTTATTTGACTCAAACCTCTGATTGCAGATTAATGAAGACAACATAGTATGAACTCCAGAGAAGTTGTAATTAAAGCACCAGGCTGATGAACACATTTCATAACCAGGAACTACCTCTGCTTCCCTTGTAAGTTTCTCTACTTGGAAATCTTTTTTATTGAGATATAATTGATATATAACATTATATTAGGTGCACAACATAATGATTCTATATTGATTGGTATGTATTGTGAAAAGATTACCACAAGAAGTCTAGTTAACACCCACCACCACACATAGTCACAAAATTTTTTTCTTGTGATGAGAATTTTTAAGATCATCTCTCTTAGCAACTTTTAAATATACAATACAGTATTGTTAACTATAGTCACCATGATGTATATTACATACCCAGAACTATTTTAAATTTTAAGAAAATATTATTTAAGCTCCTATAAGGCATTGTGCCAAACATTTTACCAAAAATGTGCAGAGCTAGAATCCTGCTTATTATAAAACAAGTTTTAAGGTGATTCCCTCTCTCTGAATTAACACCAAAGCATAATCCCAGGTAATTTCTTTAAAGAGATGGAGCTGGACTTTTTTTTGGTTTTCCCCTCAAATTTTTATTTTGAAAATGTTCAAACGCACATAAAAGTTATAGTTGTCTGATAAAAACCATAGTCTCAGTGTCCAGTGGGAATCCAATCAAAGATTTCATTTGGATGTTATTTCTACTTAGTGCATTTTATTCTAGAAAAGTCCGTTCATCTTTTTTTTTTTTTTAATGACATTGATTTTTTTTTTTTAAGAGTCCAAATTCATTTGCTTTCTGGTAATGTTTAATGTCATGATGTACTTAAAGATAAGTTGAGTCAAAGGGAAAAGAAAACAATTTCCTGACCACAGCAGGTCGTTAAAATAACTCAACAACTTCTAGTTGAACTCAGTGTCTCTGCCAATATCCATGGAATAGAAGGCATCTATATCCCCGCTCACTCAAGTTTCTCCCCTAGACTCAGCCCTAGCCTTGGTCAAAGAAATTATATTTGTTTCTCCTCCCCAGTAGGCCATGTTTCAGGGATGAATGAGTGTTTTCACACATCCACACAAAGTTGACAGGCACATATGGTGTTTTACTGAATTCAAAAACAAGAACACAGCAAGGTTACACACCATAGTGAATAATTTTCATGTCATTCTAGGAAGGTTTTAATGTGAATCAAAATTCAAGGCATGTGGAAGGCATGCATACTTTCAAATAACCTGTTTATTTATGGCCAAGTCTTATTCCCAGAATCTTTAAGCTTGGCAAAGCATTGAAAATCCTTTAGAAGGACCTACTGTCTCCAAATATTGACAGACGCTTCTCCCAAGAAGCCAATGAAAGGCCTGGGATAGTCTGACTGATGGAAAAAGTTTTGCTCAGTAGGGAATGGGACATAGTCTCAGGGTCCAGTGGGAATGTTTGAAATATATTCATTTCATTTTTGCTGCTTTTTTTTGCAGTACGCAGGCCTCTCACTGTTGCGGCCTCTCCCGTTGCAGAGCACAGGCTCCGGACGCGCAGGCTCAGCAGCCATGGCTCACAGGCCCAGCCGCTCTGCGGTCGGTATGTGGGATCTTCCCGGACCGGGGCACGAACCCGTGTCCCCTGCATCGGCAGGCAGACTCTCAACCACTGCGCCACCAGGGAAGCCCTTTTGCTGCTTTTAAAGCAAGTATTTGTTTGGTTGAAAATGATTGGAACAAATGTAATGTTAGAACTTTCCTCTCCTACCACTATGTCATCTAAATGTTTGCTGAATCATAGAATCAGATTTGGAAGAGGTAATTTCAAGATACTTCCTAGTTCACCTTTACACCTCTGAATAGGATTCCAATTTATATGACCATCCAAGATTTCTACATACAGCTAGTGAAAGCGATT